GCTTCGCCGGTTTCGTTGGAGGTTTGCAGAAGCACATGGACCTCTTGGAAGGACAAGCTGACCATTTGGTGAGAGAGGATTTGCATGGATTTGCCATTTTCACCAGCTTGCCGCGAGACGAACCCTACTTCAATCGATTGCATTCACGCTTATGCTTCCGCTCTTTGGATATTATAGTATATCGCTTTTGCACGGACCATCACTTACTTCTGGCATTTTAGGGCATGTCTACAGCCTTGTCTCCACTGTGATGAGTTGTTTTGACGTGCCGTTTTGGACGCAACCGAAACCCAAATGGTCCCAGGAGAGCAGGGCCGATTCTCCAGATCTTCAGAGGAACTGCGACAAAAACTGGAGACCGCTCAGGAAGACACCAGGAGCTGCGTCCACTAGAGAGAGAGACGTGGACCTGGTCTCGGAGACAGCGCAAAAGCACGTCTTGCGTCGTTTGGGGGACCTAGTCGGAGACATGCAGAAAACTTGACTCGGCATCCCAAAAGGCCATGGAGACCATGCAGACTAGAGTGACTTCAATTCTTGGAGGGTATTGCTTTCAGATGCGCACACAGACTGGGTGTTGTTGGTGTTGTGAGTCAGAAGATGTCAGGCTCGAAAAGCACTTTAAAGCCCCAATACCAATTTGGAGGTGAAAAGGAAGACGCAGCGGAATGGGAGCATTGAGCTTCTTAGCCATTCTTAGCCGATCCAGTTTTCGAGACGAAATGGATTGACCAGCGAGGCCCGGTATTGGAGTTTCTCCCCCTTGGTGCCATGCCCCGAAGAGCACTAAGCTCGAACCGCTCGAACCGCCGAGTCTTGGTGAGTTAGTCGGTGCAGAGAATCACACGAGGCCGCTGTTTTCCTCCGCAGGTTGCTGCGACAGGCTGTGTCACAGGCAGGCTTCATTTCGTTGGTTTCCAGATTTGCTGTGTTTTTAGCATTCCATCATCATCCATCATAAGTTCCATCATAATTACGTCAGGTCTCCGGGATTGTTATTGCTTCTGAACTGCCTGACCTTCAGCGATTTGGAGCTCGTGTCATCGCCCTCTCAGCGTGTTATTGCTGATTCAGCTGCCTCGCGGAGAGCGCTCCGCCAAACGCAGGAAGTGCTTCGAAGCCCGTGACGGTCGCCTTCAAGCTGCGGATGCAGGTGACTTCTGGGGATGGCGGGATGATGAACAAGGGGTGCCAACAGCAGCGTGGGTGATTTGATGTTCGATTATATAGAATCAGCTTTTGAGGGGGAGGGTTGCCCGCTTGAGTATTTTCATGCTTTGCAGCAGATGGCGTATGTGTGAATTATATTGAATTATTGTGAATGGATATGTTTTATTGTATTTTTAATTTTTTCGTTTGGCATGGTTCTCATGCCGCATTAGTAGGATGCTCTTAGTGTAGAACGTACCTTAAAGCCTTAGACATGGTGATGCTCAAGTGCTGATTTGCGTGACATGTCATGTAGAAGTGCACCTTCGGGCAGGTTAGGTTCTTTTTGTTTTATCCCGATGGCCTGAACATGCGGGAGGGACAGGAGCATTTGCAGTTTTCAAACCCGCATATGCTTTTCAAGTTGCAATTGAAGGTGGCGTCCAACAACTATATAATCATGCAATGTCATTGTGTAAAACAACTGGCTGTATGTCGTTCTCCGTTATGAGCTCAAAGCGTCAATTGACTTGACGACTTGAATCGAATGCGTTTTTCCATGGTTTTTCCGGACTCTGCAAGGCATCAAGCAGATTGTTGATCAGCAGTCGTTACTGGAGAAGCAGCTGCAAGCACAGCAGCAAGAGTGCCTTGAAAGCACCAGCAAAATAGTTGCGGAATGTTGATGAATGTTGTGGGTGTGTCAATGTGTGTGTGTGTGCGCGCGATGTTCCTGTTTGACATTGATGTTTGTGTTTGAATGCGTTGTCTCTATTCTGCGACATTTTTTTGCAGTCAACTACACCATCTTTGGGATGAGGGCTTGTGCAGAGATACTGGAGCAAAGTTTTGAAAGTGCTTGACATGTTTGACCAGATGACGTATCATGCATGAGTGGTTCTATTGCGGCAGGTTCAAACCCGCTTGCCATCAGTGAGTGTCACAAGATCCATATCTCATATCCGCCATATCACTATCACATGTGTCTCATTCTTTCACTCATTAAGTCAAGGGGCAACTTGTGTCCTCTATGCCCGGGAAGATCGATCAAGCTCGCCCCCGGTAACGCCCCGCTGGTGGACGTGGTTGATCTCGCCCCGCAGGTGGGCTCTCCGATGCGAATCGATGTCACAAGAGATTGGGGAGAAGTTTGATCGAGCACTGCAGCTCTTGCAGGACCGATCAAGAGCACGCATTGGCTCGAGCCAGTGCTCGGGCGAGAGTGTGATCCCAAGGCAACTCGAGCCATCCCGAGCCCTAATGTGGTGTATATATAGATATATACTGTATATATATATATATAGATGATCAAATATCCATCAGGATACGTTCAGCGAGGTGTGGACGGAGGTTGTTTGAGAGATATGTCAACGGCCAAGGACACGAAGAGTTTTCCGAAGGGCTTTAAGAGGATTCCAAGAGGATGACCGCATCGGATGACCTAGGTACATACGCTGACCTAGGAGGATCTTCCAAAGGCACAACAGCAAAACAGACCATCGTTTTGTGACAGGAGAAGGGGCAAGAGTTGAGTCAACAAAGCAAGCAGCTAGTGGCTTGGGCCTGGAAAGCTCATGATATCCTGATAGACTTAGACACCTTTGAACTGCAGAATGAAAGCCAACGACATGGATAGATATCGTCCAATTCCCCAGTTTTTGCTCAACCAACAGAAAAGGGGTACATCAATCTTACATGCAGTTTGCTGATGTTTCGTGGTTGAAGCCCCAACCAATGCAATCAGAGGGGGGTGGGTGACCCAACGCTTTTAGGGAAAACCGTACGGAACCGCTGAACCACCAAAACTGCTCAATGTCGTTGACATCTTGGCACTGTCGACTTGTGGAATTGATCCACGCCGCTGGTTGTTAATGTTTCGGCCTCGATGGCCTGGAGATCGTTGCAACTTTTCCGACTCATCTCTCTGCAGACAATTTAAAGGAGTGACCAATAATACACTTATATATATATATATAGATTAAAACACCTGGTTAAATACTTCATAGTCTCCTCTGAGAATGTAATGCCCCTTCAAGCCTTCGTGCCCAAGGTATGCAACCTCCGTGAAGAATTGGGAGGACAGCTGCAGGACCTTCGGGCGGTATGGACCCGTTATCGCGTGGCATTCTACTGATGTTTGGTCTGCTCTGAGACTAGCATGGGCCAGAGGTGGCTTTTACTTGGAGGTATGATGCTTTGTAGGTCTTGATGACTTTGCATGTTCTGCTGGCCATCCAAAACTCCAGCCTCGTCTTGTGTGTCAGCTGGAAAGTGGCTGAACACTTTATACATGTTTATGCTTTATATATAGATGATGCCCGGATTTGGCCGGCATCTTTGCCTAGTGACTAGTGACCAAGTGCGTCTCCATTTCGGAGCCCAATGAAATGGCAAACAGCTTTTGCGCTCGTTGCATTTGCCTCAGATGCGTTCGGACAAACCGCCAGGATTTGGGTGACCGTGAGGTGGCACAACGGCAAAGCCTTGAAGAGCGGTCAAACCAGCTCTTGGTCATTTGGTCTTGGTCAATCAGCTGTCCGTCAAGTGTGGGATATTGGAGCCATGTGGAGTCCGGTAGGTGGACATCCCTGCGAGGGCCTCCATTGGAACAGTTTTCTTGAGATCAATTGCACCCCCTCTCTGTAAACATGGAAGTGGAACGGGGCGTCGTTTCGTAAAGGAACGACGTGATCCAAGGGTCTGTGCCCGACCAGGGCGACCGGTCGACCGAAGAGGTGGAAGCGTACGACGGGACCGACATATGATCGATCACACCGGTCATCAAGAACGATGGGGTCCTATGGGGTTTGGCTTGTGCCACTGGTCTAGGTTTGAAGTGAGCAAGGTGAATGAGGCAAAAAGGATCAAAAGGGGGAATGAGGACGAAGTGAGTCAGTCATCGACACCAGACATCCTTTTTGGCCAACTTTCACTCCAAGGACCTGGGCTTGCAAAAGTTGGCCAAGGATTCGCAACTGTTGAGTCGATCCAGTCGACCGTCCCGACCGCGATCAAAGATGATTAAAGGTATATAGGTGTCCAGTGATCAAAGGTGATCAAAGGCCGTGTCCGAAATAGCATTGTGCTGAAAGACTTTCTTTGGACGTGATTTTCGACACATTTTGCGGCAGACAACAGAATTATAGAATGAATTATGTATATTGGTGATTCGAGGGGTCAACTACCCAGGGACCCATCACCCAAAAGGAATCAACCTGAGTGGGATTACCCGGTGCAAGAGAGGATGCTGCGGCATACTCTTAGTATAGACTCGACGATGGAACTCCTGTACAACACCCTGCAGGGGTCCGAAAAAGATATGGAGCGCCGCTCCAGCGCCGCTGCAGGAGGTGGCCGAGCGAATCGACCGACAGCAGGAGCAGCAGCGCTTGGCGCTTCGGTGGATGGGGGGACCAGACAAAGGGAGGGTGTGTCGAAGAAAGCAGAAGACCTAGCCGGATCCCCGCTAAGCGTCTTAGGTACCCTTTCAGGTTTTGAAGTCAAGAGTCCAAAGGCACGCAGGAGGGATTCCGTATTTTTTGCCTCCAATATACTGTTAAAAAGGGAGCGGGATTAGCAATTATAGTTTTTGTATGTTTTTGTGTTTGCTTGTTTGGGTATAGAAGCATCAAGGAGCAAAGAAACTGTTTGAGAATCGGGCTCTGTTAGGTTGAAGATACTTTTGAAGATGTACGGACAGCAGCTACCTGCAAGAGCACCCAGGAATGCCACAAGTAGGACATGTCCACTGTATCTCCTTCGACCATTTCAATGGAAGTCATTCTGTTTGTTCTTGAGAACTTCTTTCAATTTCCAAAATGTTGGGATCTCAGTTTGAGTTTAGCCTTGCCATGGCAAGTACAATTTTTGGGATCTTTTGCCATGGCTGGAAGTCCTATTCAGAGTTTGGGATCTTCTTCCTTGGATCTCCCGGATCTCCAATCGCCGAGGCGTCGCTGTCCGCAGAGAATCGCTTGTCCGGGCATTTGGAGAGCTGCTGCCTGTCGAGAAAGCTGCGCGAGGACTCGCGGGCAAGTGCCCTCTCCCAAACTCGACCGAAATAATCCAAAATAGCTCTTCACCGGTCCTAGCTTGTGTGACGTGTGTATATACACAATATTTATATGATACATAAATATAATATAATATATAAATATATGAGTACTGTAAGTTCACCTATGAAATGTACTTGTATATGCATCATATAGAGGGCTTGGGTTTCAAGGACGTGCCACCCAAGAGTTGGTCCTATCAAATCGGCTAGAGTGAACAAGGGCCGTTGAGAAGGGTGGAAACATGTGGAAATCGTTCAAATCCGTGGATCCTGAGGTGGGTTACCCCACCAGGCCCTGCCAAACTTGTGAGGTGACCCAAGCCGTGGCTTTAAAATCTTCAAATTCGCTCCTCGAAAGTCTTGATATGCACCTCTCCGCCTCTCACATGCTTCCGTCGCTGCCCAGCCTGCACCGGCTCCGGCTCGGCGGTGTTGCTCGACTGAGGTTACCAACGTTTGGGCGCCCAAGAGTCGTGGCGCAGCACCTTCCAGGAGAGCGGAGCGCTGCGGAGCGCACAGCCTGATATTGTAAATCCTGAGGGCCACAAAAATGCCCAAGATTTGATCAATTTGCCAGACAAAGTGATGTGACGGAGGCAGCCACTGGCTGTTCCATGCTGCTCCGAGAGGGGGATGTTGCACGTGTTGTAGGAGCGGGAAGCTGGTCGAGAGTCCTATGTGAAGAGAGTGGCAGAGCAGCTTCAGAGATTGGAAGCAACTTGCAAAGAGAGCCTTAGCTTTTTGGCATACGATGTTTGTGCCAAAATTCCGGATCCTGGTTTGCTTCAGTTTTATAAGCAGCTTGCAGTGGCTTGGCGGCTTGGCGTTTTGCATGATCTACACCCTGAGCTTCCACGGCGCTGGGTGGGTTGACACCCACGGCGTTCGCACCCCCAAGGATTCCTGTGCTGCAGTCACGGATCGAAGAAGTCCGCCAATCCGTCAAGGAAGACATGGCAGCGAGTGCCATGAATGCCTTCCAAGGACCAGTGAGTCGGAGCAAACCAGGTGAGTCTGATTTGATGTTTGTTCAATGCTGTGGAGTGTTGGTTCCTTCAAGCTGGGCTCTTGATGTCTCTAGACCAACGGCGTTGCCTTGAGAAAAGATCCGCTGGCCCCCAGGAGAGATGCGCCTTTGGGCTAAGATGGCTCAATTGGGAGTGGCGCCGCCCAGCTGAGGGCCGACGATAGGACCGGGCTGAGGGCCGACACAACTTCCGAATCCGTGTGCCAGGCTCAAGGACCGATTCGGATAGACAAGAAGTTTCTAGCAAGTATTTGCCAATAAGGGTTTTCCAAGCTTTCCATGTTGAGGGGACTCGTGACTCGAGGCTTTCGTTCTTTTGGCCACCAATTGCTCTTCCGAATTTGGAGGACCAGTTCAGACGGGCTCAGCTAGTCGTTGTGCTATTTCGTTGCAAGTGCATCCTGGAACATCCTGGACAATAGCTTGAATTTGTTCTTTTGAGATCCAGGGCGCTTAATTCGGTCTGGGATGAAGGAGATGTTGCCTAATTCGACATCTCCTTGCATGCAATTAGATGTACAGAGTCGTCAGCTAGGCTTCATGCTTGGCAGGGTGAGGGCACCTTCACCGAAGGAGATCCAGAGACAGCAGACTGCCCATGTGGCAGCACCATCTTGGCACAACACTGTGAAAATAAGTTTAACCAGCCAATTCAGACCCCCCATGAGTTGGCCTGGTTCCACTGGTGTGGTGGAAGAGGGAAAGGTCAAGAGATCAGACTGTACTTGCATGACCCATTGTTGTCAGACCTCAATTGAATTTGGCATAACTTGGCTTTGTGTGTGGTGTGTGTGTGCGTGCGTGGTCAACGCCTGAACCTTCACGGGTGTATTTTTAATGTCTTGAGTCTTTCATAGGGGCGTTCGTGAGACTGACTAAGCTCTGAAAAGCAATATGGCAGATTGACTGACATCCCTGCTGCTCTTATTCGCAATTGCTTCTACTGGTCAATCACGTCAAACACCCTGTTGGGTGGCGCTTGGATTTGGTGTGCTAGTATCGTCGGAGGCAGTCAGCCAGCCCAATTTGCCTGATCCACAGTTTTTGCTTGGCTCACTGCAGGCTCCCGAAAGTGTAAGCTTATCACAGCCATGGCATTCTCCTGGAAACACCTCGTGGCGCTCTTCACCTTATTGAGTGTGGCTGTGGCAAGCACTGCTAGCAATGAAAGCAAAGAAAGCAGCAATCAGACAAGCAGATCAAGCAATGAAACTATTGGCATTAATCAGACAAGTGGGAGCCTTGGCAAGTTCAACATGTTAAACAGCTCCAGGGCCGAGTCTAGCTAGATCTAGATGTAAAAGCGGGTCGGAATTGAGTTATGTATATACGTTGCCCAGAAGTTATACCGGCTATACCTGTGCCTATTTGCCTAGAGTTGCTTTAGCGGTAGCTTTTGCACACATGGTCGAAAGGACGCCAGGTAGCACAGTGTAGATGGGGAAGAATTGTCCACTATCATGTGAGCGAGCACTACGGTATATTAGTTTGAACAGTTTTGTCGAATGGGAGGGTCCGACCCACTCCATGCGCTGCTACCATTGGTCCGAACCAGAATTTGTAAAAGGGCCTTTTTGGGTCCCCAAAAAAGGACAGGAAGGTTCCTTGACGCGGATTGATGAGCGAGGCTGGGATTTCATCCCCAGCTGTGCAGCCCAGGAACAGCACAGGGCTGCTGGTGAAGTCAATGTCAAGAGGCTCCACTTTGCGTGTCATCAATGGCTGCAACGAGCCCATGTGGATTGCACATTGTTGCAACTACAAGTACCGTCACTGGAACTAGTTTGGTGGGGAGGATGGGAATGCCTCTATTACAAGTCTTGCCTAAAGCGTTTTGGTGGCAGACACATTGAGCTATGGTTGGCTCAAATGATTTCAATTTGAATGTGGACTACTTGAGGCTCTACTGTTTGACTTGCTACCCTGTAGGTTGTGTGAGTCATGTTGATGGGCCTGGAAGTGTTGTTTTCTCAGCGTTCCAGGGTGTTTCAGTGTTTGGGGTGCTCTCGATTCAGATTCTTTGGTTGGTTTTTCACCCAGATGGTGCACCTACATGTGCATTCTGCCATGTATCCGCATGGTATATATTCAATACAACTTTGTCCCACTGGGGTGCCACCGGGTCGGCCCCTGACGACCTCCCGGAATTCGTCCCTACTTGACGGCCCAAATTGATCAAGGGAGAAGGCCGATTGCAGAGCCAGAGAGGCACAATGCTTGCACTTACATATTCAGCTCTTCAATTTAGCAAACTTCCAGGAATGGAATGAGCACCAGCATGTGGTAATGTTCCTTGTCACATTGGCTCTATGTGGAGTTGCTGGTTGCCCGCGTTTACAGTCCAAATTGTCATACTGCATTCATATCCAACAACCCCAACAAGGGGCACCGCCCATCAACTTCCATGATTGGCTCGGAAGAATAAATTGCTGCCACTTCAATGGCCCATCAGTGCCTCACTTCTGACCTATTCGCCCACAAATGTTGTCTCTTTTGGAGCACCCGCAGTTCCCCTTCTTCCATTGGATAAAAATCCCCGGCACCGCCCACGCCCGAGGTCAGAACGTGAAGATCGAGGTGCGCCAGAACTCAGGAGACTAGATCATTCCCCAATCCTTAGCCAACTCCAATAGAATCATTAGGTAAGAGCTGTTTGCAGGACTCCCCGTTTTGCGAAGAGTGGGCCATCCAAGATGTTCAGCCTAGATGATGCTAGATGAGAAGAGTCCTACTCTCAGCATGCCTTGGGTTGATCTCATTTCCAGCAACTGTACAAAAATTCGCACACGCAACTAAGGTGCACTCGTAACCTGACTCTACACTTGCTGTTTACGCACAACGCCAAAACCCCAGATCCAGCCAATTGACCCGAGAAACAGCCACCCCGCCAGGCTGGTGCTTCCCACGACTTCCCGGCCTACGCTGGGCTCATGGGCTTTCGCCTTTGGCCGAAGTTGAGGCAGGGCCTATTGCAGACCCGAAATGGTTGACCTTTCGATCTGAAAGAGTAACTATTTTGGTATATATGTTAGCTATTGAATTTGCTGAACACCTCATTGCCAACATAACCGCATATGCCTCCTTGCCAAAACAGTCCTATCCGTTGAATGTGCGTGTTGTGCCACCATTGCTACCTGCAACATTTTCGTCCCGTGTTGCGCCGTACGAGGACATTCCATTCGAAAAGGCACACAAGATCTATCAGAAAATCAACAAATGCATTCGTCAAAACACATCCTTTGATCATTTGCTCATTACAAATTAGATGCGCTGCCGTGCTCATGTTCGTCGTAATTCACCTTTTGTGATCCCACTGTGTATGAGACCGGTGGTGGTTTCATGGTGGTCGTGCATGTTTTGTGGATACAATCTTCGTACATAGAAACCCTTATGCACCCCACGATGTGGAAGGGCTTTAAGAGGCGAACGGATCGATCGCGAGTTGGTGTGATATATATATATATTTTTAAAAGCTATTTGTCCTTTCAGGATCCTTTAGGACCCTTTATAGGTATGAGTACGCGCGGTCTGGGTTTGACGATACAGTTGGTATCCAACTTCCCTCTTTGCGCCTCGCCAACTTTTGCATTCATTGACATTTGATTCGTGATCGCAGTTTGGAGAGGCTGATTGTGTCTTTGGGCTGGCCCGGTGCTTCTGGTTGTTGTTCCATTGCTGTTACATGCACCATCCTTTGTGGGTCCGCAATGGTTTTTGGCAGGTTGCTTGGTTCACCTGGCTGGTTTCACCTTCATGTACAGAGTACCAGGATCGAGGCTGATTGACATTTGTTGAACTCTTTGGACTTGTTAATGCTTAATATGTGGATCACTTAAAACGTCTCGTGAAGCTATCTCAACACCAAACGAACAGTTTCAAAGTGGATGCAGAGTTTTGTGTATGTTGGTCACATTTGTTCTCAAATAAGTGGGTGCAAGTGAGTAGTTCACCCAAACATCTTCACGGACAAAGTCAGTTGGATGTGACTGGGATCATTGGGAGTGCTACGGGGGACATTTCCTCGGCGCCGGCAAGGTGCAACTCCGATGGCAATGGCTGCCGCATCGGCCAGAGCGGAGGCAAGGGGCAGCCCTGCGGCACGGACGGCAACTGGCGATGCCAGGCGAACTTTGGCAGCACAGGAAGACACGGCTTTGGACTGTGCATAGGCACCTAGCTGTGGACCGGAAAACGCTATCAGCCCCCCTGCCATATGGCCATATGCATGTGGAATCATAACTCTTCCGTGCCTTCATGGCAGAGAACCATGAGCACCTGCAAGGCATATTGATACGAAGTTCGAAGCCAGTTTCGGTGGACGCCGTGATTATTTCGACATGCACCTCGGCTTTCAATCCTAGATTTGGCTGTGACAACGCTGCTGGTCAAGACTAAACCCCCAAACATTGAACGTGTCAAGATTGCTGGGCAGTCTATTCGATTTGATTCGATTTGTTTCCTGTCGGAGGTTTACATGGTGAACCTCGAACCCTCCTGGGAGGGCTGTGTTTGTGATTTGCGGGAGTGAGTGCAGGAGCCTAGTGGATGGCTACACCCTGCCCTTCAAGCTGAAGCTTCGTGGCTGCTCCGTCAAGGGCGGCACCTTCTGGGATTGCAACTCGGTGTTTAAGCAGTTCTGTTTTGGCAACTTTCTCACATGTCATGTGCTGACTCCCAGCCACCGGATCCCAAAGCTTGGTCTCCGGTCCGATCCCAAAGAGTCAACCTCCGAGAGATGCACAGGTTCAGGGCTTCGTTCTGATGTCTGCCCCAGAGGGAATCGGGAGTACTACAACGGCAGGCCCAGTGGGCCGAGTGGATGTCGGTTTGAAGCTGCGAGAACCCTTGAAGAACGCTACTAGGAGCAAAGGGCATCGCTACTAGGAGCAAGGACGCTACTAGGGGCTCCTGGCCTTACTACTAGTAACAATAAAGCTACTAGGAGCAAGGGCATACGGCATATGCATTAAAGATCACAATGCAAAGAATTGTTCGGACGGCCCTACCTTTCCAAAGTCTTCTCACGTCTTCTCCATGGGCAGAAGCCTATCAAAAGAAAACGGTCAGATATTTGGGTTGATGTTTCGCACAGCTGAGACATATTATCCTAGCATCCATTGCGCCCTTCTTCATGGCTCGAAGTGGCTTCAAGGTCAGACCCGCCGGACCTTCCTTGGGCGTTTCAGAATCTTGTGCTACAAGACTAGAGTCAATACAAATATTTCATCAATACTATATTATATACTAGACTATATTAATACTATAAGACTACAAGGGTGATCTCAGATTGAAGCCCGCGGTTCGAGACTTTCCCGCCGTTTACCTCACGTCTGCGCGAAGCGCTGGACGCCATGGCGGAGCCATTGAAGACGGCCTTGAAGCCAAAAGATGCACCGAAAAAGGAACCTCCCAAGAAGCTTGGTGGCCGAGAGATGTTGAACGGAGGTACCTGTAGTTGCGTTAGGCAAAAGAGTGCTCGTGAGTGTGCTCGTGAAATGAGTTTTCAAAGGTTTTCTATGATTGGGGTGTGTGTGGGGTGCACCTACAGTTACTGTACTTAAGTGTTCTTTTCATCGTATCGAAGCTGAGACACCTGGGATCGAAGATCATGGCTTTTCGGAGAAACAGAGAGTGGCAGAGGTTTGAAGAGCGATGTATGGTGGCCCGGTGGCTATGTTGCACTCTGGGTGGTCGGATGTGTTGCTTTTGCGGCTGAAATTAGGATAAATTATACAGGGCTGCTGGTGTTCTGGAAGAATGACGTGGCACTCCTGCTTTTCTGTCGAGTGAGGAAAGTGAAGCTTGAAGCACCCTTCAAGCCGGAAGAGGAGCCATGAGCAAGTGGAGTTTGCCCACGCACCTTATGCGCCTTATGCACCCCACTCTGAAGATAGTTGGACCCGACAAACCCAAGTGTATACTGTGAGTATCTGTGAGTATACAACTATCATCCATGTGCTTTGTGAGGAACGCGCAGCAGTGAAGATTGCATCGAACATTTGTTGGTTTGGGTTCTTTGAGTGCGGTCCCTTGCGTTCGGCCAGACGGTGTGGTCCGCCGGACGCCAGGAGGAAGGGATCGATTTGCAGACGCTCATCAATGAGGTGGATGGGCATGACACCAAGGCGGCCCTTGTGGCTTTGAAGACGGAGAAGCAAGACAAGAATCCGCGCTCCTTGGCCGTGAATAATTTGCTCGAGGGATCTCCAGACAGAGAGGGGTGATAATGGTGGTGATGCTGGTGACGGTGGTGGTGGTGATGATTAACGATTAACAATAAATAACACAAAATCAAAGGAATTGGACAAATTAATTGAACAATATTGAACATAATTCAAGCCAGACTGCTTCAGCATGGGGCGCACAGCCGTGAGAATGTCGGAAGCGCGTAAACCCTCTCAACCTCTCTCCCAGAAAGCATTACATCACAGGTTATGTCAAAAACCGCAAGTGAATAAAGAGCTCAATGGTGTCGGACTAGTCCCTGTTTACGAGTCACTCGTGCCCCTATTGAACCAAAGCCGGGTTCAAAACACTTAATTTTTGACCTTACCACACTAGGTAGGCAATATGTAAAATCGAAAGCAGGTGGATTTGCTTTGATGCGCATTTGCTTTGATGGCTCGTGGGTCCACGTGTTTTGAGCCGCCATGAAATTGGTTGAATCGGATTCCGGTTTTTGCTCAGTTCGAGGTTCTATGAGCCCGGACCGTCAAACGATCCAAGATGCCCGGAGAAGAAGTGGTGGCTGTTGGTCCGTGGAAGGGAGGAGTGTTTGTGGCGGAGTGGCTGTTGCCAGGCAAATGGCCGTATTGCTGTAGTTGCCGGACCCTCATCGCCAGAGGTTTGAGACTCATCAGCCGAAAGGAGACTAGGGCCTATAGAGATTTGGTGATTCGGGGTGTCGCGATGTTTCATTTATTTATCCCAGTATTCCGAAAGGCTACATTTGTCCAGTGGTGTTTCCCCAAGTTGCTGACCTGCTTCTGTCAAAATCAGGGGTCCTAAGCTTGGGTCCTTTCTTAAACGTGTTTCTGTTTATTTTGGGGGCGAGCTGCCCTGCATCCATCCCGCACAGTCCGCCGGTTGGACCGGTCCCCGTTGGAGCGTCCAAGGATTCCATTGAGCAATTGGAGTTGTGCATGGCGAAGGTGGAGAGCTGGGGAGTTGAACGGTCATCCAGCTGAGAGTCTTCCACTTGTGCCATCTTGCGCATCTTGTACCCATCTTGTACCCACACTCCTCGGCATTTGGTGTATCAATGGGTATCAATTTGATTCAATGCTTTATCATCTCATTATTGTTTGGGGATAGGTTATTTAACACCAAGCTGACTCCTCTAGAGCGTTTCTTTCTGTGTGCTTTGGTTCTTCTAATTCGGCCAGCCGCCAGTGCTTTTCGTTCCTGAAGACACGGAAGAACACCACCTGGGCGTTAAATCGCTGGCACCGAAGGATGTCCAGAGTCTCACAATATATATATATATATAAACAGTGCAGAACATTTTTGAAGCATTGCCCTACTTAGTGAGCCATAGAAGTGTTGATTCCATTGGTCCTTTGGATCGGGTCATTTCAACTTGTGAGAGGCCCTTTATGAGCATAGATGATCATACTAGTAGCTTCGTGTTACTAGTAAGTCCAGGAGCTACGTTCGTAGCGTCCGATCGCTCCGTTCGCAGCGATGCCACCCTTGTTACTAGTTGTAACAGATATATAACATGTGTCGCAAGACCCATGGAGACATCGACCCATGGAGGGCAAGTCCTCCCCTTCTTCGAGCACCGGAGGCTCCGGAGGACCCGTGATCGGTCGGTCGGTCGAGCTTCGCCAGGTCATGGCCGACTTCCGAGCGCAGACGGAGGAGGCCGGTGGAGACCGGACGGCGTCCGGACGCCACGCGTTGCGGCGAGTGGAAAGACCCAAGGTGTTTTGGAGACGGTTTGGAGATTGGTGTTTGGTGTTTTGGATTTGGAGATCTTAGAGAGGTTTGGATCCTGTTTATTTGACCGGCTTTGGATGACATGGGTTGAGGACGGCCTTTTTTTTTCAGAGGTCCGCCCTCTGAGACGGTCCTTGGGAGGTGCTGATGCAACACTTGGATGCTTTGGATGAAGTACAACAGTCCCAAGAGTTTGAAGTAGCAAATCTCATGGCAGAGGCTTTGCAGCAGGGAGTGCTGGGAAGGTGCGGATGTGCAGTGGGGGTCGTTGAGTCACTTGGCAGGGCCTTAGATAGAGTGAAACCTTTCCCCGTCCATTCAGTGCAAGGCTGGCACCGTTCTCTAACTGCGTATGATCTATGATTTTGCTGACTGCTGTGGCACAGGCCATGCAGGCCCTGTATTGTGAGCAATGGTATGAAGAGACATGAAGAGACCCGTTCTGTGGAAGAGTGGATGCTCGCAGCTGTGAATCCAGATTGAGATGTCACAAGGTGTACTCGCCGTATTGAGTGTATATAGTATAATAAAGTAATATAGGATAATGATCAATGGCACCTAAACCTAAACATCTTGAACCATTTTGGTGTATTCAGTCTATAGTTCTTATTCCACTTTGTCATGTTCCCACTTGCCCGGGCCCTGTGCTAGCAATTCTGGAAGTGCATGTTTTTTGGTCTCCATGTGCCGCTGGTCGCCCCTGCAGCTCATTTTCTGGGGCCGAAGATAACCCGTCTCAAGGAGAACATGCTTTTGCGGGAGAAGCTGGGCTTGAAGTCCACTGAAGCTGCTCAGCAAGCGACCTGGATGAAGATCAAAAAGAACGATCTGCAGTTGATCAAGCGATTCAGATGCACGCCGTGCTTGCGCGTTTGCTTTCACAGTCACAGAGAGGTGAGAGGGGCGGAAGACATTCGCAGAGCGTGGCAACGTGTGCGAGATCCAGAACATCTATCCAAACATCACATAATTAGGTTAGCAGTTGCTTTGACATGGTTTGTTCATTGCTGATGCAGTCTGTGGCAGCTGGGAACGTATTCATAACGGCCGGGGACCGTTTGCATGCCTTTGTTGCTTGGACTGATCGATGTGGATCAAAATCCTTCGGTCACCGCACTAAGCGGCTCCGTGCATTGTGAGGTCATGTTCCAAAACATGGAGAAGCCGGACAAGAAGAAGAAACCCAAGCGCGGAAGGAACAATGCCTTTCAGGACAGCCTACACCGCCTTTCAGGTAACAGTGGGCCCAAGTGGCACTGGCGCGGTTCGGTTGATCAACCAATGACCCACAGGTATGTTGCCTTCCATGGAAATCGCATGTGCAAATGTTTGGGTAACACCCAGACGATGGTGGAGGACACCCCAAACTCTAAACAAACGCAGCTGTCCTGTTGAACCCTGTTTTCAACAAGTTGGCTGCAAGTCAACAGCCTTTGTGCGGTGCAAGAGGCGTGAAATAGACTACCATGGATAACACCCACCCACCCAGAAGACGGCGTACCCTTGAGGTGTTGTATCGCCACACGTGTGGTGTCATACAGTAAGAGTCAACCGACCACATGCCCCAGTGCTATTTTTACCGTAGTGTTAGCGACCGGGCTTGCACGATGAACTGTTTCTCACACACATCTACTGGTCCACTGCCACCCTCTAGTTGGGCAAGTACATTTATGAACCATGGGCAACTAGCAGGCGAAACCGCTATCCAACATTGCATTGGAAGTAACATGGAGTAACATTCACTGTTTATTATCCAAAGATAGCAGTCTTGAACACTTGCTGTTAACGAGCAGGATCCTGCCTGCCACCGCCTTTAAAAGAAAAGGTTGGCTCCAACCCACTTATTCCACCATGTTATTTGGGTGTCCCAATAGTTCCAAGGTGATGTACACCATTGCATACTGGTCCCCAAATAGATATTATATAGCCATATAGCAATGGTTTCCAATACATGTTGAAAGGATGTTGCTTTTCTATCAATTTGGGGGTCTCTATACACCCACCACCTTGGCAGGATGATGATGATCACAAGAACCACTCCAAGGACTTCGGGTTCCCGTGACCTGGCGAAGAGTTCGCCTCGCCTCTTGCGCTCGCGAAAGCCTCGAGCCAAGAGTCCACCTGTGTCATCCATCCCAATTTTGGACAAAGCCCCACCGTTTGGGAATTGAGCCAGAACCAAGAGTCTTGAGTTTCTTGCATCATTGGGAATGATTGGGCATCTATTTTGCTGAGTTTTTTGCCCAGAGTGCACGGCCTAAACAGAGCGGTGCATGTTTCATCAACATAGTGGATGCCAAAGGCCTTTATATCCAGGTGACTGGAGAGTTAAGACTTCTGAGCTGTTACCAACAACAAATTCAATGGAGCACCTGCCCCCTTACCAAATATAATTCTGTTTCAGGATGTTTCAGGTTTGTTTACAGGTTGTGGGACATGATGACATGACCCATGTTTGGTGCGGTTCCAGTAGTAGGAATTAATTATCCAGGTTTCCTGTACCTTGGACACACCCACCAGTACCCGCTGTACCTATCAGCGTGCCGGGGTCGGTTTTTTTGGGCACGATCGGACCAGCTCGTGCATCCTGGTTTCGTGATGTTTCACGAACGAAGCCCGAACGATCTTTTGTGGCCAGTTGCTCGCGTTGCGAGGCCTCCTGCCCAGAACAACAGGAAGAGCACGAGGGCGCGAGGCAAGAATCCAGATCCAGGTGCGGAAGGAAGGATTGAGAACATTGAGCCACATCAAGGAGTGATGTCCATACGATATGATTTGGTTGTTCACCTGAAATGGGTGAATCAATGGGGACATCTGGGAACATGGTCGGATTTTGGAATAGCAGCAACACCACATAGAAAGATCGGGTGGTGCAGGAGATTTGGTGCGGCCCTGGAACGTTGTAAGATTCCTGACTGGATTCCGGTCGCTTGGGCATGCTGGAAATATATATATATATATTATACAGTATAAATTTGGGCACCTTCTTTTTGTTTAAAGCGCGTTGTCCGGTCACGAAGGAGAAAAACCGCTCCAACGCCTCATCCACAGGTGGGGCCTGGCAAGCTTTTATGGCCTGGGTCCCCACGGGCGCAGCCATGCAGAACCCGGAGCCCTGGAACCCTGGCTTTGCGATGGGGCACGGGGTTGTAGAAGGGCGTGGTGAAAAGCTATGTGGTATTGAACACATTGAACGGAATTGGAATGGGGGCCGGCCTGTATTCAATGCTGCCCCTGCCCCATCCAAAAGTCAGCTATCCATGCTCCATCATGGTCCTAGCAAGCACATGGCCCCGAGTTTTTGCTCCCCCAAGTGGTGAAGCACTTCAGGGGGGAACCTGAAGACCTACGGTATACCGTCGGATTCTTATTATTGTGTTGTTGAGTGGATGCAGTTTGGTTAAGACATTCAACTCCATAGTCCTCAATGGGCGCAAGGGCACTACTTGTTGAAGAGTTCCGGATCATTGCAAAGCAGGGATGGCAACCTTTGCAGCAGTAGCATGCAGCAACCACAGAGTTGCAACCAGGTGGAATCATTTGGAACCGTGGCTCCCACGGATGCTACGAACGGAACTTTCGGGCATCAAAAACGAACGGAGCAAGGGCATCGCCGTGCGTTGCGGAGGGCCTGCAGCATGGTGGAATCATCGCTACTAGGAACAAGGATGCTAGTAGTAACAAAGGGCATCGCTACTAGGAGCAAGGACGCTACTAGGGGCTCCTGGCCTTGCGGGGCTCCTGGCATCGAGTAGCATTCTTACGACTAGGATCTACTAGGAGCAAGGACGCTATTGATTTGTGGTCCGTGCCCCACCTCCATTGGGCCTTGGCCGAACGGGCGAACTCAGGAAGCCGATGCCACAAAACGAGATCGCTCAAGCGCAGCCACCACAAAGTGGGAAGAACCGACAGGCCGTGAACGGGGCACATAGGTTTTGCGAAAGGAACGGGAGCCACACGCAACCTAGTAACCTATGCCTGGACTGCCACTGTACCCATGCAAAAGTGTGCCGTTCCGGGGCTCATTTTTGAACTCTAACTCTCAGTGGTCCAATTCTTCATGAACTTTTTGAGATTCTTCCAGCCGCAGACGATATGACTGCTTATACCCAATCGCTAAGGTCCGAAAATCTTCATAACTGTTGGCACCGTTTTTGTCACACCGTCAGGTGCTGAAACGCAACGTGAGCGTTCTGCCGGGCTCTCCTTCAGAGGAACGCCCTGAGAGACCTGCGAAGGCGCGGTGTCGCGACGGGAGTCGATAAGAGTCGATAAGCAATGCCAAGCTGTTTCTACAGCAGCAAGCCGCATGGCACACCCCAACGGCGCTTGTGATTGCTGGGTTTTTGCTACGATCGGATGGTCCTGGATAGCACTACTAGCGGGCTAGGAAGCATGAAGGAGGAGTCCGTTCCGTCACACTTCGGGCCTGATTCAATGTCACGAGAAGCTGAAACAGTTTGAGGGACATTGACTTTCACTACAGTACTTTCACTATAACTATAAGGATGCTACAGTTAGGAGTATGGGCTTGGAATCCCGATAAGCTTCTACAATCGAGTTTCCCTGCAGCAAAAGACTTGCAGAAGTGGTATTCAAGTTAACCAAAGGGAGTTTTAGGAGAAGCTATGGTGTTATCGTGGCTGCAGAGCAACCATCTTGGAACCATTATGTTCCTTGTGATCCACTTTTTCGAGGACAGGGGCCTTCGAGAGGGATGCATTTTGTATACGTTTGCCAGATGGTTCGATAGAAAGGTTGGCCTGGAATCGGTGTGGGGTCTTTGTACACAAAGTGCTTGAAGGTCGGCTTCTCAGTGGACATCCACGACCCGTTTGCCATTTGACATTCGCGAATGACTAAATAGATCCAGGATAAGACAGGAAACCGTAGGAAACCCATCTCAGACTGAGACTCTCTTGTGAAAAACTTGTCATGAACTCTTGGGAACTACCAAAGCAGAATGAGAGCCATGAGCGGGACAATCAAATTCAGAACAGAAGTTGATTCATCCTTCACTGCAAGATGCTCAGTCCAGAAGGGACGAAGACTTGTTCGTGACTTCAGATGTGCACATGTTTTTCTTTGTTCAATGCTTGCAGCGAAAGAGAGAGAGAGAGAGAGAGAGAAATGCACAACAAACAATTAAATAGAAATGCAAGAGGCTTGCTGGAGAGACAAGATTCCAATACACCTTCAACAAGAAGTACCTGTCATTTTGATCATCCTTTTTCTTTTGCACCGTGCTAAATCTCGACCTGTTCGGGGGAGAGTGTGCTCAGTGCCAGGAAGACGGTGATGACTCTGACTCAGACAGCGGACGAAGTACCATTGCAGGGGAAGAGCAGTGCCCTGGCACTCGACCGCGAAGTCGGCCAAGCGTTCGGAATTTGGCCCCGGACACCCGGGTGCGGGGGCTTCACCCGTTTTGATCTCCAAGGGCAGAATTAAAGACATACTTGAAGCGTGATGTTCGTTCCCAAGTTCAGATTGCATAACATATATATATAACATGTATAGTATAGTTACAACATGTTACACCATGTGAGACATTGATTCGCGAGCTCCTTAGACAAGTCAACTCATGTACAGCAACCCCAAGCCTGCTCATTTGGTTGAGACAAGTTGATGTGCGCAGTTGCTGGAGTGTTTGGCGCTCATGGGTGCATATGGGTCCCATGATTTGATTGGTGCCTTGTGCACATGTTGCTCCTCCGGTTTTTGTGCGATCCATCTCCGAAAAGCTCCCACGAAACTGCACAGCACAGCTGTCACCAGGACTTCCCCAGAGGGTGTCCTACATTCAGTCCCGGAGCTTCGGCTATCGGCTATCAGATCTGGAGGGAAAACCCAATGCCCATGTCGTGCTTGGTGTTATGCCTTCTCCGGGTTTGATTTCAGAACTTCGGACTTCGGCAAGGTCTATTTGGTATTATTTGGTTGAAATGTTTTTGGGGTGCTCGAGTCTTCAGCGATGGTCACCGGGGCGACAGGTTCGAATTGTTGGAGCTGTGGCGTGCGAACGAGAAGCAGATGCGGAAGATGAAGCGTGGGAGTCAGGCTGGGCAGAGCCCAAGCAGAGGGGAGGGCAAACGTAAGACACGCAGGGGAGGGGAAGGCTAAACCCAAAGAGTCTCAAGATGAAATCTATCATCTACCGTATTCATATCCCTTCGGCTTGGCGGATGCAACCCCCAATCGTCCGGCCAGTTAGGTGGGTCCGAACCTCCGTGGCTCTGCGCCACCGGGGGTCTCCGGAACCTCCGGAACCTCCGGGTCCGTCAGGCCGAGACGGAGAGTTCCATGCCTTTTCGCGAAGAAGAGGATGAATATCAAGAACCTCCTGCACATGGCTGGGTGCTGAATCCGGATGGGACTCCTGGACGATGTTGGGGAGTGGTTGGGGTGTTGGGGTGACTCATGGTGATCTTTTTGTTCAGTGGCTATGGTGGAGGCTTTTGGATCATTGGATTCTTCATCAAAGCCTTTTGGCAAGTGGGCTGTGAGCATTTGACCAGACACAGACAGAGCTTTTACAGTACTGTGTTGCCTCCGGTAGTTTTGTCAGAAATTCCTATGTTTGATTGCTTGGCTGAGGCCAACCAAACAGCTTTGGCCATTGATGTCACCTATATAAATGTTTGCTGATTTGATTCATCGTTCTTAATGCATCGACGAAACCCTCCTTGATGACGGCAATAGGACTCACAGAATAGCAGTCCAACGGCAATCATGCAGAGACTTGATGACAGAGGGTAGAGAAGGTAGAACAGAGACTACCTGCTGGTGGGGCCTAACATCGCATCATCGGGGAAGCCCCGTGGCACTGAAGCCAGGAAGATTCGCATCGGTTGGGACTTGGGAAGCTTAATCATGGTGCTCTATGACATGGTCATGATCCCCATGTGCCTTGGATTTGCGGCGATGAGCCGCTTCACTGCCATCCAAAGGGCCACAAAAGAGAGCCGGAAGAAGAAACAGTGACACACACACACACCGCTTGAGTCACTTGAGCAATCTTTGAGGTGGCTTGGCTCGATCCAAAACCGTGTTGCAATGGGCCATTGCATGCCATTGCCACGTATGGACAATATACGAAAACCATGGAACACCTTTTTTTTGGCGGGGGGGGTGGGTAAGCGTCCCCACAGGCAGGCATACGCGTTGCCTGAAAACCTCTTCTTGGACTTTATGGAGTGGACGATGCTTGGGCAGGGCCAGAATCTGACGTTGGGCTGAGGGTCGTGAGGGTGGGGGTTGGCTGGAGCACACCACAAACATCACCACCATGACATAAGCATCCCACCGTGCCAAAGGAGTCCAGAACATTCCAGAACTTCTAGGGAGCTTGACTTCAGGTTGGTGGAGAGGCCTGATGAGTACATAGATATTTTGACCCAGAAGGTCGTAGAAGCCCGAGTGATCCTTATTCCTGGAAGTATTCTTGGATATTCTTGGATCATATAATACTTTTTTTACTAGTATATTACTGTAAGGATTAAGGCGCTCTTAACATCCCATGGTCCCATGGTATGGATGTTGGTCCGTTCATGGCACAAAGACCTCCTCGAAGAAGGAAAACATACCAAAACTCATCGTTTGGATGCCTCCCCATTCTAAAGCACACCCATATCTTTGCCCTTCAACTCTTTGGGCTTGGCTCAGGACACGCATGTTTTGGACCTTCGACATTTGCTTCTCGTGCTCGACTGGTGTGGTCCGTGCCGACGGATCAGTGGAGTATGACCTCAGGACCATCTTGACACTTGGCGCAAGATGGGGCAAGCCAGAAGTGCCAAACTTGGGAAATCCAAAGAGATCACCAAATCACCAAGTGGTGGGTGGAATGGAGAAATATGGGACAACATCACGGGTGATCAGACTCTCCATGGTGGCCTTTGGCCACCATGGGAAGATGTGGAATTATCCATAGAAGCGTTTGCCATAAAAGGATGATAGTCACAAGCTTCTGTGATGATGCGATATGGGCCTTGAGAGTGGCAAGTGAGACTGCCGATATGTTGTCGTCGCCATGGGGAGAGTCAAAAGATCGGAAACAGACCTGTAGCCAGAGATCCAGCAGCACTACACACCAAATTGCTAAGGCAGTGGAAACTGATTGAGGACAATAGTGGTATATATATAATATATATTTATAACTATATATAACCATATATATATATACTGTATATATACATGTATATCCATGGCCATTCTCCACTTCCATTATTTTTCAGCTGTTAAGCTATAGCTCCATACATTCTGTGCGCCACTGGTCCAGCCCCGTTCCATGAAGCCAGTCATACAAGGAAGCGCTATGCCAAGACCTGGTTGGCCATGGACTTGCTGATTGCAGCTGGGCTGCGGAGAAGTGTGTTTTATAGGGAAGCGCAGGGAAAAAAAGAGCCTGCCAATCTCAAAAGAGCGCGGGGGAGCAACCCCGAAAGGAAGGGCCATTCATACATTTATAGATGTTGACTGGAATCCTTATAAAGAGAGTCTGGGAGGGTTAAGTTTGGTGAGAAACCTTTTCAACGTGTAGTACTTAGTGTATATTTTGATTGACGTGTGCGGTGCAATGTGTGCCATCCCGCCAGGTGTGCTCAGATTGGTCGGAAGTGATTTTCTCATCTGGAGGCAGCTGCAATCGCGTTGGGAAGTGTGAAGTTAGATCCAGTCAACAAGGCCGTGGATCCAGTCCCAGCATGGTGATTGCACCAGAGAACAAGTTCTTGACAAATAAGTGCTGGAAAAGATGTCATGCATGATTTAAGAGTCTATGCAACTTTGTGTGAGAGTTGCTTTGGTCTAGTTTTGTGATCTTGTCTCGCTTGGACATTGTTACCCGTGGGCTCGATACTCCATAGCTTCACAAAAAATATCACAAGTGGACGATGAACAGGAGCATGGTGACGTAGACACACTGCACCAAACCTATGCACAAAATCGGCACACTCACTGCACATGATGTTTAGACGTTACGCCGCAAATTTCTGGTACAGGGTGATGAAAACGTTGCCCGCAATGCGACAACACTGGGCCTTCTAACAGTCTAACGTGCCACCTTTGGCACTAAGCACGTGGAGATCTCTCAAGACTGATTGCTCACTGTTGGGCTCAATGTGGACTTCAGTGGAGTCTCCGAAAGCTTTGGAGTCTCGGAAAGCTTGGATGCCTGAACTCTGCCGGATCTCCTTCGAGCAGATGCCTCCTTAGTCTCCGACGATGCCAGGCACTTCCATGCTCACTTTGGCACGGAGTACCCGCATCATCCGTATCGTGCGCTTGTTGCGCTTGGTGCGCATGCAGGAGATCATTGCGAATGCCACTTGGACCATGGGACCAGTCGAGGGAGAGCGTGGGGTTGTCGAAGTGTTCGAACGATTTGGTTTGGACTCCCTGAAGCCCGCAACGATGCTGGGTTCAAGGAGCCAGCAAGAACCAACTAACCAAGATGATTTGCCACAAGAGTGCAAAAAGGGCTCAACATCCTTGTGAGCGGCTTGGTGCGGTGTTAGTCCTCCAGCATGGTGGCAACGTGTGCAATTCTCGGATTCCACTTCATTGATCACATATATTTTGGCTCTATGGCACCATAGGTATTTTGATATTAAGCTTTCTTTGTCAGCTCCCATTCATGCTGAGGGGTCCTGCCTTCCCCCAGGTGACCGAGCGGATCCAATCGGAAGCCTTGGGCCCCGTGGTGCAGGTGACCAAGGTCACTGTGGTCACCTGGGCGAATTAATCATGCGACGACTCCGAGTGTTGGGAAACTCCGTCGGTGATTGGGTGGTGAAGTACGGGGACAAGCTCAGCTAGGCTAGTTCCAAGCAATGAAGTTGTCGTCTCCAAAAGAGGAAGCAGATTTGGAGGTCTGAAGTTTCCACCAGCCAGGAGAACATTTCGTGCAATAGACAAGGGTGCTTACTTGATATACCTCTTAACGTTATATAAGTCAAATAACACGAGTATATTTATATTGTACACAATACATATTATGTATGTATATAGTGGTATACGTTGAATTATCAATGCTTAAATATGGAGGTGATTGAAGGTGTTTGAGGGTGTCGTCATGGATCCTGCATAAACTTGCGACCATCCTTCCATGAACGCATTCCATGTGGATCATTTCAACGCCTAGCCGCGCCTAGCCAGCTCAGACCCAGACCGCTCAGGTGTTGCTGACAATATCCCATTTCACCGGATGTCTTTGGTTTGCCATCGGCAACCGTGATTCAAGTGACACCTGGGTTGCAAAGGCAGAATTGGCTACTGCAGGACCTCTACACGGCCGACATTTTGAATGTGCTTTTGATGAAGTAGACTCAGTGGGCTCACATGGGGTGGTGCAGAGATGAAGACACTGCTTCCTCACCAGTTCCTTATGATGATTCGCATTTGAGTGTTGGCCTGGTGCATTTGACATGTGGACTGCGTAATTCGCAGGCTTGGAGTTTTTGGCTGGCAGCACCTATCAGTTGATTCTGATTTTATTGCTTGGAGGAGTGGATGCACAGTATTTGGCCTCCCTTCATTGGGCTTTGACTCAGTTCTCAGGCCGGGAGGTCTAGTTTAGACTCCCTGACATACATAATCATGGAAGTGGAAAACAATGGAAATCCATATATGTGTGGGAAATGGTAATCCAAAGAAAGGTCTATATAAAGGGGCCATTAAGTTTCCACGTCCATGATCAGGGAGTGTAGTCTAGTAGTGGCAGCCAGCTCTCAGCCTGGGGATGTGGTGTTGCGCAGTGACTTCGAGAACTAGATGAAGTCAAATCTCAAGCCAGGCTTTTAGGTGGACATCATGTATACAATAAAGATTTGCATTGTCTTTTGAAGGGGTCTATTTTCCTTTGTTTCCTTGTTTTTTGTTTTTCAGTCAGTTCCTGCTAGCGACAGAGGAAATGATCTCCCCACAGCTTCATGAACAGCCACGGGTCCCCTTCGTGCAATCGACCTGCGGTCAGGTGGCATGGATGAGATATATCCAGCCTCGCCCATTGAGCGGTTGTTCGCAGTCACCTGGAGAATCTGTGTTTAAAGGAATGTGGTGAATGGGGAAGCACTGAAAGAAATCAAGCTTGGTTCCAAAAGAGAAATGTGTGTATGTGTGTTCATCAGGTAATCAAGACATTCATTCATTGAGAAATTTAAGTAGTCCTTGAACACAGTGCCGTTTGACTGCATATTACTTATTACTTTACTTACTGTAGGTAGGTCTTTTGTCTTCCGTGTGTAATTAGATTCAGAAAAGTACCACACCCACGGCTTTGACATGTTCAGCTTTACTTTGCTCGCCCGAGTGGGCTCCGCCAACTGGACTTTTGTTTGGGATGACCCTGGTATACCCACACGAGGCAGGGGATTTCCCATTGATCATCTCCTTCATCGGGAAGTGGAATGGCGGGTGGCACCATGGGTTTGGAATTGATCCGCCGGAGTTGTTGGGATTCCGTGGAGCTCCACCACTCATGTTGGCCCAGAAAATTTGCCAAAAGTCAGATCTGAAACAGGATGCAGAAACTTTCCGAAAGCCCGAGGTGGTCATTGGATTGACAATTTTTGTCATTGCCTTGGTTTTGCTTGGCGTTTTCACCAGCGGACTTACTCAGCAGTACATCATCGGAGGAAGCGGGGCAAGACAGCTACTGGACAGCATTAAAGTAATATTCAGCATGATGCAGCAGTCAGGTGCATTTGATATTCATTCTATTTTCACGACATGGCAATCCGTGTGCAAAATCAACCACGCTCATCCTGCTAGGGTGTATCGACAAGGAGGCCGCATATGCCCTGTGATCATGTTGTTTTGCTAATGAGAAATGAGAGCCTATGAACATGTATGATATGTATGTCACGTATTCGGTGTATATGTATTGACTTCATGGGGCAGCGACGGGCAACAAACAATAAAGTAGGCGATAACATACCTGAAAGGTGACCGACCTCAACTGCTGTGTTGGGCACCGTTTGTTACGTTTTCCTTGATAGCGACTTTGGGTAGGTAGATGATAGATGGACTCTACATTCAATCAAAGCTCTCAGGAACTCACAATTTTGGTGTTTGCTTGATGAATCATCAATCATCAATGAAATGTGGTGTTTAGATACGCAGCCCGCTTGCAACTGAAGGCTGGCCACCTTGAAGAGATACCTCAAGCAGAACAATGTGTCGAAGGTTATTACCAAGTAACTTATCCGAGTTAACATATTTCTCATGTGGCATGCGGTGAGTGCGGCGGTGGCAAGTATGGGGTGGCTAGGGTTTAACATCCATGGGTCCATGGGGTGTGTGGCACAGGCCCAAGCCCATATGGCACCCTGTTGAAGGCAGTGTTGTAAACCTCAAGAAAGACCCAGCGCCTTGAAGAAAGGCACTTGAGTAAAAGAAGCTCATACTCCCCAGCGTTTTCTGAGGCTTGTCACTCTTGTTTCATGTTTCACCTTTCAGTTCTAGTCTGAGTGATGAGGCCCTTGCCAAAATCCTTTGCATTGGCACAGGGTCACCGTAGAATGGACACGTTTTGGGTGGACATCAGCTACGTCGTATTTCATGCAATTGCAGCCTTAGCACCCTTGGCGAGACTATTCTTGCAATGGTCACATGATTTTAGTGTGCTTCTCACTCAACCACGCGCGCCTTCGCTTGAGACACGTGACGGGCGCTGGAAACCGCCTCGCAAGGCGCGTGTGCCGGAACGCCAAGCACGCGATCTCGGGAGATCTCACACCAGTAGCTCGGTCACGGGCGCTTTTCGGTCCGGCGGAGTGGCTGCTCGGAGCTGTAGGTGATGGGTGAGACATATGTAATATATAATTACCATATATACTGTAGTATATACCGTATATATATATATACACATGTGTGTTTGTTTGGGAGAGAGGGCAGAGGGCATGGCACAAATCGTTCCAATCGGTGTATGTGTGTACGTATGAATTGAAGGCCTCTCTCTGTCTTTCTCTAACTAATGGGGGGCTACATGGCACTACTTTGACTTAGCCAAACAGGTGTGCTTCCCATAGGCTCCTCATAAGGGGCCACAAATCTTACAGGAGGGGAGGGGGTCTTGGAAAACAAGAGTCTGTGACGCTCCTTGGTGGTTCAGCTGTACATGGAGGCAAGTATCATAAAGTATTTATTTACCAGGCTACCGCCTGCAGCCGCCGACCCCCAAGGGATAGAACCTTAGCGCTAGCCTTGCTCTATGTTAGCCTTAGCCTTAAGCCTTAGCCTTAGCCTTAAGAGTGCAGACCCAACCCAGCACGACCAAAGCAGGTACCCAAAAAGTCGACTTTTTGGGTACCTCCCAGATTTACCATCGGACGTCAGCTCTTGCATGAACCCCGATCATTGCCCAAGAATTTAGACCCAACCCTTCACCACCAAAGCAGGTACCCAAAAAGTCGACTTTTTGGGTACCTCCCAGGTTTACCAATTTAGACCCAACCCAGCACCACCAAAGCAGGTACCCAAAAAGACAAAGCCTAGAGCATTCCTAGGAAAGTGCCAGAAAACTATCCCCTTTGAAATTTCCCTTACAAAATGGGGTATCCTAGGATCAAAATTTAGGGGTCATTTTGTAAGCAGTATTTTTTGAGCCATTTTGTAGCGGTACATTTGGTGATCTTACTGGGTGGAAGGCCATGCCATTTTGTAAGAGACAACTTTGCCAGGACTTGCATTTTGTAAGGATTCGGCTACTTCCAAGATTAATTAGGATTTGCATTTTGTAAGAGACATAAAGCTGCTACAAAAAGCCATGCCTAGGATCACTTCCAGGTTGACTCTGAACATTGACTGTACATGAGATCACGCCTGGCATTTAGTAGCCATTGTAGCTCAAAGATTTCTTGCCAGCAGGACCTAGCATTTTGTAGGCCATGTCTTTGGAGTTCGGTCTATTTTGCTTCCTGCTGTTCGCCTTTGGGATGGCTGGTGGGATGGCTTTCTGCTGGCTTTTCAAAGCAAAAGAAAATTATGGGGTGAAAAAAAAGGTGATTGATGAGGAGGATGAAACCCCGCTTGTGAATGTGGCCAGTCACAAAAGCAGCAAACGGCGATCTGACGTCACCGCGTACATCAGCAAGAGCAACAAAGTGCATAGCAAGAGAGATTGCAGTGGAATGGGAGAGCACACCTGTGCTACATTATGCAGGAAGTGCTTTCCATTCGATCACTAGGGATGAAGAGGATCAGAATGGATCAGATTGCGTTCAGATAGCGTAGATAGGAGCAGACTATGAAGGACTTGGCCCTGGCCTTGTGGTGTGAAAAAGAGATTAGGTATGGCTTTGTAATGGAAACATCTTGAGGCCTTCAGTGCATTTTTTAAACAAAGGAGCAAGGGTGACCGGCATGTAGTAGCCATTTTGGCTCTTTTGTTGCTCCAAGCAACAATCCCGCTGTCCAATGCCACGCCCACCAGGTGGCTTCCCAAAATTCTGCGGTATAGGTTCGTGCGTATGCGATGTGCCACCTCCTGAGTGGTGCCGCAACAGGGGTGTGTACCGCACCTTGGATTCAAACTCTAACTGACAACATGATGAAGTATGTTTAGAATTGTTTAGAATGTGGTGTATCTTTCTTTCGATTATAGAGATTTGTATAGATTTGTATAGTGGATATATACTTGCCGATGCTTGGGTCTGATTACAGTTGTTTTCCGAGCAATACCGAGCCGAGTCAGCAGATGTGATATGCAGAAGGGTTCGCGGAAGTCACATCACCATGTGTACTTCGAGACGAGCCTTGGCCTTGCAGATCAAAACAGATATGAAAGTGTTGAACGTGTAATGTGGAATCCTACAAAATGACTTGTGCATGAGATAACATTGTAAAATTAATGGTTTGGAGCTGTTAGAATTATAGAAAGTAGGCTGTTGGATCTTATGACATGACTTGTTCAAATGAATAGCTTATAAAATGACCAGGACATGGAGCTGACAAAGCCAAACAAAAAACAACAGCGTACAAAAGCTCAGGAAAACGGGAACGTGGAAGTGGACGCTTGCAATCAGCAAAGACAAGCCAACGCTAGACACCTGGCTGCACAAGTGGTTGGGAAAGTGGGGGTTGAACAATGAATGCATGTTTCAGATTGTTTCAGAGAATCTTGGCTCAAAATTCTGCTTGAAACCTGGTGATCCTATTTAGCTCAATTCCTGTCACCACCATGGTGAGTGCGTGCAGCTCGGTTCGTTGGCTTACGCTGGGGCTGCTTGTGCTTCTGCTTGCGGACGGCGCCAAGGGCGCATGTCGCAAGCTTCCCTCGATCAAAGACGACACAACATGCAGTATCATGGAGCACGAGCGCCTAGGTTTATGATTCAGTGCGTGGGGGCTTCATTTTGTAGTAGAAACCCTTGACAAGGCCATTTTATAAACACTGTAAACATGCATACGCGCCTGGAACTCAATGCGGGCCAGGTGGTACCATGCTCGCCAACATGTCCAGGAGCTTGTTGCTTTGGGGAAGTCTTTCATGCAGGATTCCCAGAAGTTGTATGGCGTACTGGATCTTTTCAGCAGTTCGCAAAAAGTGCGACAAACTTTTCAAAAGGCTGGCATTCCAGGAATGGCCTATGACATAAAGCACAGTTTGCTGCACGATATTTGCACAAAGTCTGGATTTGAGCGACTACTACGTATGGGATGTGAGCAGCTTGTACGCTCATTCTGTATTATGTTTTATGATGTTTTATGCTTATGTAATCTTATGTATACTTATGTATGATTATTATTGTTTATGTACGTCTATGTACTGCATACATTTCCATACAGACTATCCCACCTCAGGCTACGCGACGATGGGTTGATTGTAGCGGCCCCGCCTTGCAGTCTTTACGGCCCTGCGTGTGCCTCGGTGCACAAGAGGTCGGCTTTGAACCCAGCAGGAGACTTGTCAAACTTCAAGGTGAGATTGGCCCGCGTCATCCACAACAACTTCGTACCATGGCAAATCCAACATTTTTGTATATCTTTGTACGTTTATAATTTAATTGTTTATATATGTTTATATAGTGTATTGATGTTTTATGATGTTTCGATATGTTTTGATTCTTTTTGGAATGGTTTAATCCAAAGAACAACCCTTACAAAATGACAAGTCTTTGGTATATTTTACAAAAAGACCATTCCAGATTTGCTTCCTGAATGTTCTGACCAAAGTCCGGGGCTACATGCGTGTGCTGGTGGAGCAGCCGTCTGGCTCCTGGGCCTTTAAGCAGACCGAGTTCAAAAGGTTGATCCAATTTCTCTCTTTGCGCCTAGGCTCCATATGGTTCCATTTGCTTTAGTGTTTTCCAATTGTTTTTATTTTTTTGAACCGTTTTGGTGGTATGTTTTTTTAAATGAAAAAAATATATATTTTATATTTTTAAAGTAATATACATGACATATCTTTCTTTGAGCATTCTGTTGATTGAAGTTGTCCTAGTAGTTTTCCTAAGCTACACAGTGGCCCTGGGAATCTATAAAATGACTGGACCCTGTTCTATTTCTATAAAATGCGGTGTTTTTCTTGTGATCCGAATTGATGCAAACTGGTGCAAACTGCATCTTGCGTTTTCTATTGTTGAAATGCTGAGGCATTTTGATGCATTTTGGCAATCTAAGGTCACTATGTGTGACATGGATGGGCCTTTTTGGTCATGATCTTCCAAAGTGCTCCCATGTCATGACAAACTGCAAAGAGATGGCAACCTTGAAGCGGACCTTGCATCCTGCAGATCGGAAGAGGATCAAGGCCACTTTCATTAATTTTCCCACGTTCATCGATGAAAACAAGCAACAATATGGAAACGTTCATGGATACGGATTATTTAGGTATACAGACATATATATATATATAATGATATATAATGTATATTGATGTTCAGATAAAATAGATTACAGTAATATAGATGAATGGTTGCAATTGGCCGTCCTTGACTCGCAGGATAGGTTCAAGAAGAGGCAAAACAAAAGAGTCAAGAAAAAGGACTCTTGGTTTGTTGTTGAAAAAAGGTTCTTTTGTTTAATCTTTTTAGGGTTTTCATTTTGTAAGCCAAAATATTGGGACAACCATTTTGTAAGAATATTCAATCCCAATGTTGTTCCACTCTCCAAGGTATGGATATGACCACTGATGTGGCTGCCTAAGGTGTACCATGTCCGCACTGTGTCTTCCCAGGGCCGCGTCGGGTGGCAAGGGGGCCGGGATCTTGCATCCTCTGCTGCCTTTACTGGTTCATTTTGCCATGCAATACTGTCAGCGTGGTTGAAGTCCTGCAAAGATACGCAGGGCTAGCTACCTGCTGAAACAGTAGGCAAAGCGGAAAGACTTTGAGGTGCCAAGGTACCATAGATACTTTTCACCTGCCTTACAGCAGACCTGGGTGAAGAATGGGTGAAGAAGAATTGAAAAGACCGGCAGATTTGATGATCAGTCTCTCATATCCTTTAGGTTTCTGTAGTGTTCGCGCGAAGATGCATAATGAGACAATATTTATGAAGATGAAATTAATTGACATGGCATTATTATAGTGCAGTAGAATGCAGTAGACATTTGTATACATTTGTAATCCACTCACTTCCATCACACAAATATACAAACATAGTTTGTGCTAAGCGTATTCCTCGCACTCAGGACGAGCCTGTTCCAGAGCCTGTTGACCTTGGTCAAGTTTCAACTGGAGCTGCCACTGAAGGAGGCAGGCCGCCAGTTGTACAAGAGTCAGGGCAAGCCACCTTGC